TTTAATTCTGTATGGTTATATTTCAAATTCACAAGTAACTTTCGAAAAGAAATCTCAGCAGATGTCAAAAGTTTGCATGAAGAGCACAAGTTTTCAAAAATAATGTTTTTGGCAAACAAAAAAACTCACCTTTGGTTCCAATGTCTGCTTTGACTTCAATCTGACTGGAATACACTTGACAGACCATCATTGCATAAATGATGAAAGTTATCGGCTTGAAATACATTTTTAAAATTCTTCGATGGAAATTCTATAAGAAACCCAGGCTATTCCTAAGGAATAAGGTAGTCCTTTTATAGTAACTGTTAGCTGCTGTTGATATTTTGAGGATACCTCTTTCAGTTCCGTTGACTGAGTTAGTGGTCGAATATTTTTTCCAGAGGAAATGGCTATTGGACTTCAGCGATCAATAATATACTCTGTTGATGCTTGCATTGGTTTTATTTTTGCTCCTACGGGTAGAAAATACACATTTGAATTTCGGGACAGACAGTTTGAAAATATAAACATATGAGTCTCTTCAGCAGAACTCAAAAACAGGCCTACAAATATAGAATTCGAGTTAAACAATGGCTTGCAAAATATGACAACAAATTAGAAACCAAGAAAAAAACATTCCAGCGGTATTATTAAATCTTTGGAAAATTTAACACAAATGAATTTGAAATTCGCTGTTTGATTTGTGCATGCATACGATGTTTTGATTTATTTGAAGTGATTTATTGTGTGTGTGGAATTTATCATGTTGAATTCTGAAATTTCTTGCATTTAAAAATTGAATGTTTTCTTACAAAATGTGGTACATATCTTTTGATGCGTTCCCTTGAATATTTGCCCCTGGCTGCAATGGGCTGATGTGGCCTGCATTTCATTTGTCAAATCCAATGTTTTTTTTGGGAAATTGAACTCACGGATGCCGGGGATACATGAAGCAAATCTATCCAATGATGCATCAATCAACAATCAATCTTTATCAATAAACATCCAAAGCAGAAAACTCATCCGACAAAAACAAGCATTTTGCTACCATCGTGTCTTGAACAAAGAACTTAAATTTTGAAATTATGAAAAGTTCACTTTCTGATGTCATATATGTGGTCTTGAGTGAAAACATAAGGACCTAAAAATAATTGGTGGATTAAAATCTCTGTAGGAATCGTGGACTTTCAGTTTTGTTGCTGTGAATCTGTTTCAACTGGAAATTATAAAGTCAATTAATGCTTTCTTTGCATTTTTGTCTGTTTTTATATTTTCCATTCTAATCGCCTATTACATTTCTCAAAGCATTGCACTGGTACAAAATACTGTAAATGATCTGGAATAAGTCACTATATAGTCTTTGCTGATTCTTTGATTTCAAGAACTCCAAATAAGTCATCTTGCCTTCAGGTAGCTAACCTCGGAAGTAAGATACAAATTTACTTCAAAATATCATGAACCATTTTTTAGATTTTTTTTAATGACAGCATTTGACAGGAGATACGTTAAACACAAATACATATATATTTTTCCTTATCTGTGTCTCCATTTCCGGCCCCCAAGAATATTTCTGGGCGAACTTTATAACTCGTTTTCAGTATTATATTCACAGATGTCACTCCTCCAGGAGTCTGACACGCGAAGTGAATTTATATTTTCATATTATGCTTGAAAATAAGTGAAATTCACTTGAATACCGGTTGGTTTAATTGTAAAAACATTGTATGAGTTCGATCTGTAATGGTTTGGATTCTTTTTTGTTCATTTAAATTCATTATATGAAGAAGATGGCGGATTGAATTCAATGTTAGCTGAAACCGCAGCGACTTTTCGCGGATTAATTCGTTGAGCGGAAAATGTCTGAAAACGCTGAACCACAATTTGTAAAATGAAATAAAAACAAAGGCTCTTCTGAAGTCATTCACGTTCATTCCAGCAATATAGAGAAATTCTCGTATGATTCTTGATGGAAAGTAACAGAAACGAGGAATTTGTTCGATCGACGTTAAATATTCACGGTCAGTTGATTGACTTCAGCACGTTGTTTTCCTTCGTCTCATTGTCTGGAACGATTTGACCGAGTCCGTCCATGGACTCCAGATGAGCTTCGTCTTCCGGCAAATTGTTGTGCGACTTGTTCTGCTTATTGGCATATTTTCCCATCTGATGAGTCAGAAATGCCTTCAGGGATTCCTTGCTGTTGTGTTCTGCAAGCTGAGAAGATGCGGTGGTGGTGGTTTCTTTGGATTCCACATTGTCCAGTCCTATATTTTTGAGCACCTGTAAGTGGGAAGTATACAGTAAATAAGAGACATTTGTAAAATTGTGACCATCAAGCTCCACTAAATAAGTTTAAAAACATTGTCTGCATCATCTATATAGCAGTGTTGCCAAACCTTTTTGTGCCTGCGGACCAGCAAATTTCCATGAACATTTCGGTGCACCAGCAAATTCACAAAAAATTGTCTATAGACTGGAAATGTTTCTTAAAATATGTACAGACTGGAAACAATTTTGCTTGGTAGCTTTATGGCAGGTATACAAAAGTTGATGCTTCTTGCAAAAATTATGTTGAGCACATATGAAGAAGCTACAGCTGAATGTCATCAGAATCTTATGAAGGTGAACATTAAAATGATTTACAGTGGCCCCCTGCCTAACAGACCTCCCGTGTAAGGGATTTTGGCCGAACAGACCAGCTCTGCAAGCAGTTTTTCCTCCCACCCAACAGACAAAATCCACAAAACAGACTTCTTTTGGTTTAAAATTAGTGTTGAAAATTGAAATTTTCAATTTTCATGTAATTTAATTTGTGTAAAGGACTTTTTGTCTAACAGACTTGCCCCTTGCACAAATCAAGTCCGTTAGACGGGGGTTGACTGTATTCTAGCAGGTAAAATAGTGTCTGAAGCACTGTTATTAGGATAAAAGCTAAATTTCATGTTTCATCAAATGCTTTCAATTGCCTGTCTTTCCAAAGTTTTATATAATATTGGTAACAGAATTCATTGCTACTTTTAATAAGTGTTATGCTGAAAATTTCCTGCAAACTGGCAAAAACATTTGTTAACCAGCACTGGTCCGCAGACCACTGGTCGGGGAACACTGATTTATAGTATCTTAGTCAACAAAGACCATGCAATAAAAGACTAATAACTGCACAGAGTGGACCAGAAAACAGTGAACTAACTGTTCTTTAGTTTGGTTCTGGATTGAAAGGAAGTAATGGAAAAATATACATTGAATTTAGGGAATGTGTGCCCCTTCTTGGAGGCAACATGAACTTTGCTGGTTATATTACATGGTCTTGAACCTCATTCATCCCCAAAAAAATGCTCTGGAGAACAGATGCTTTGTGGAAGGATTTGCATGACAACTTAATCTTTTGAAAGTTTTCATTGAAATGGTTATTCTTGTGACCATGTTTTGGCACTTATGAGACCATACCACTGCATAAAATTTGAAATGGAATTGCACCAGCTTTCTCTTGGTATTTTTCATACCCTTGACTTGATTTTCTATGAAGCTGTTATTCAAGTACCAAATTGGTTCAATTTTTTTTGCACACCCTGTAAATCATCTCAAAACTGCTCAAGAGGAAAGTGAGTTATGCCCAGCAGAAAATGAAATTTTCCTTCTCATTCATACCTCTCTGTCTTCCTTTGTTGAAAGAATCCAATTTTCAGCATCAATAATATTCAAATAAATACCAGCTGTCCCAAGTAATGAAGGACATTAGTCATAATTGATAATGTTTCGATTTCAGCCAGAATTTCTGGTCATCCAAATCAGATTTACATTTTTATGAAATCGACTCAATATTTAATATTTATTTTTCACACAAGACATTCTTACAATGCAAAGGAAATTAAACACTTGGTAATACAGTATCCACAGAAGGAAAAGCATGTAATCTAATTCCTCTTACTCTGACTTTTTAGGTCATATGTGAACTTTACTAGACTTCCACTGAGTTCAAACTAAGAGTCGTTTCAAAATCTACTTCACCCAGTGAGACTAAAACCTATGTTAATGAGACGAGATCTTCACTTATATACAGCCCTTGGGCAGAAAAGTTGATATATTTTTGAAAAATTGTGTTCCCATTAGCACTGAAAATATTAATATTCATTTCAGCATCAAGGTATGTCAGAAAAAAGCCCAATATTTGTTTTCAAAATCCTGCAGAAAATTTAGCCTAAAAAAATTCATCAACACTGGGTGGCTTCTTTTAAGCAGTTTCTTGCATATGATTAGCATTATTAGAGATTGTGGAATAAAAAAGGATTCACTCTCCTCAGATTTTTTGAAACTCTGGCCTTCCAAGCCTGATGGGTGCAATTCAGTGACATTCAATCATACTGAAAAGAGCCAAACCACCCCCTCCCCCAAATCCAAACTTTGCCACAGTAAAGCCAGGAACCCTCTGCAATCCAAGGGGTGAAATATAGTGTTTTCTAGGTTATTTGTATTAAGTAAAAAGGGAAAATTAATAAATATAAAACATAGTAATCAATGTATCAATGACATGAACATCAGTTCATGGTTATGCTCCCAACTTGGAAATAGGAAGTGCATCCATGATTCATTTTATTTTGTTGAATGCTTAAAAGAAAAGACTTTCTCCATAGGATGACATTCAAAGGAAATGAAAGAAGCATTCCACAAATGTCCAGTCATGTTTTTCAAGAAATGTTCAAAATTCACACTGAATTAATGAAGCCAACCTGTTGAATGATATTTTTAGAAGAATCTTTGAAAAAACATTCTTAGAACAAACCTTAATTGTTTGAAAAATGCTGAATAAAATAATTATGTTTCTGCAAATCTCATGTGAAATAAGGAGAATGAGACTGAAAAATCCAGTATACACTTGAAATGATCTGAAGGTGACTCAAGTTTGATTCTCAGCAAAGTTTTAGATGAAGTGGGTCACTCTGATTTTGGATACAATTACTCTGCTCTATACTTCACTTATACATCCCTTGGGCAGAAAAGTTGATATATTTTTGAAAAATTGCGTTCCCATTAGCACTGAAAATATTAATATTCATTTCAGCATCAAGGTATGTCAGAAAAAAGCCCAATATTTGTTTTCAGAATCCTGCAGAAAATTTCGCCAAAAAAAATTCCTCAACACTGGGTGGCTTTTTTTAAGCAGTTTCTTGCATATGATTAGCATTATTAGAGATTGTGGAATAAAAAAGGATTCACCCTCCTCAGATTTTTTGAAACTCTGGCCTTCCAAGCCTGATGGGTGCATTTCAGTGACATTCAATCATACTGAAAAGCGCCAAACCACCCCCTCCCCCAAATCCAAACCTTGCCACAGTAAAGCCAGGAACCCTCTGCCATCCAAGGGGTGAAATATAGTGTTTTCTAGGTTATTTGTATTAGGTAAAAAGGGAAAATTAATAAATATAAAACATAGTAATCAATGTATCAATGACATGAACATCAGTGCATGGTTATGCTCCCAACTTGGAAATAGGAAGTGCATCCATGATTCATTTTATTTTGTTGAATGCTTAACAAAAAGACTTTCTCCATAGGATGACGTTCAAAGAAAATGAAAGAAGCATTCAACAAATGTCCAGTCATGTTTTCCAAGAAATGTTCAAAATTCACACTCAATTAATGAAGCCAACCTGTTGAATGATATTTTTAGAAGAATCTTTGAAAAAACATTCTTAGAACAAACCTTAATTGTTTGAAAAATGCTGAATAAAATAATTATGTTTCTGCAAATCTCATGTGAACAAAAACTGCAGCAACAAATCTTTTAAAGAACACTCTTGTTACTGTGAATACTGTTGAAAAATATTGTATATGAAACTCTTTGTTAGCTTCTAGCAAAATAGCCCTATAATACTGCGGCTATGCGAGTTTGAATATTGTGGTACAGTATTGCCAATGATTTTTGTGTGTGTGTCCCAATGGTTAAAATTTAATTGCATGCAACTCTTTATAGTGAAGGATTTTTGATGAAGGCATACACATTACTTGATGCAGCATTCAAACTATATTTACCTTTATAACTTCTGAAGTGTCTCTTGCAACTTCTTTCTGCTTCTGAATGATGTCAGCCAGCACTGTGAGAATTTGAGCCCTGGAAATCTGCTGCAATTGCTGCTGCTGCTGCTGTTGTTGATTTCCTGAATAGTCAGATGGAGCTTGTCTCTTCATGCGAGCCCTCAGTTGGGTGGCTTTTGGCGAGTCTGGGATCCCTGGGGATCCCCCAGGTCCACCTGCTGGGTCCCCAAAGGGAGACGAAAACTGACCTCCGCCCATATTGGGTTCATTCATCGAGGGGTTGAATGACGCCATCTTGGAAAATTTCAGGTTCTGAATGTAAGGCGTTCTTTGATTCCCATCACCTTTGGGTGTGAAAGAATATTTTTACAACTTGGAAACCAGTATATAGAGCCTTTGGAGTAGAACCTCATTAAAACGAATTCCATGGATTTGAATTTCATTCCAACGAGTCTCATTACAAAGAATCTCGTTTCAATGAATCTCGCTAGAATGAATCTCATTGCAATGAATCTTTTTAGGATGAATCTCGCGACAACAAATGTTATTATAGAGAATCAAGATTTAAAAAAAAGTCTCATTCGAATTAATTTTGCGATATCAAATAATCAATTACAACGAAGTCATTTTTATTAGGTACTTTCCCAATAAGCACAATGTAAATAAATAAGGTACTTAATGACTAACTTTTCATTTGAAGCTACTTTACTGGTCCCAAGTCCTTTTCTGTAACGATATTTTAATGTATCATAAGTTTTGGAATCATATTTGTATCTGAAATCTTCAAATTGTCACCTATAAGAATCTCACGCAAAAAAAGTCATTCTAAATTTGTCAATAAAATAAAAAAAAAAATTTTAAATGAGCTGGTGTGGGAAAACATTTTTATTNGACCTCACTTTCTTTGATGGCAGCGGCACCGGAAAGAACCCCAAAAATGACCAGACACGACACCCGAATCATGGTTCACTCTTATTCCCTCGACTGCCAACTTTAAACAACACACTGACCCTATCCCAAGAAACCCTTTTCGCTACCCTTTCTTTTTTTTTTCTCTCTCTGCTGGAACCCGGGGACACAGAGCAAATTAGCAAGTCTCTCGTCGGGATTCCCCCTTCCGATATCACATCCAAGAAAAAAAATAAATAAAAAGAGAAATCAGCACACTTGGCTAATCTTCTCAGCTTTCATTTGCCAGGAATTTAACAGCAAACAATAACCCAAGGGATGAGGGGGAAGAAAACAGGGCGGAAGGCTTTTCGCAAAAACACCAGGTTATTGACTCAAAGGGTGTGTGCCAATATTGGCGCAAAAGCGACGAGAAAAAAAAACATAAAGGAAAGTGTACTACTGTACTGGGAACAAAACTTGTCTTGCTGCTGCTGTATATATCCCAGTGAAGGACTTGTATTTCACCAACGAGATGATTCCCGTGTTTTCACACCCTGTTCGGACTAGAGTCGTCGAAACAATGGGTTTTTGCACGGATTCCGCTGCCTTTTCGCAGTCGCCAAATCATCCATTTGTGCAGGATAAAGCTAACATCGTCCCCCGTGTTATTTGTCTGTTTGTCACACGAGGTGGAACAAAAAAGGTTAAATCGGCCTGGAACTCAAACAATTCTCGGTATTTTTGCACCCGAAACGTATTATTGCTGGTATGAGACATCAGTCAGAAGACAAACTTTACTTCCGCGTCTCGTCAGCAGATGTCACTGCATGTCGAAACGAAACGCCTTATTCCTTTCTGCGTTTGTGTTTAAAACTTATGTGCTGTAATGAAATACTGTATTTGGAAAATAAACTTGAATGAATCATAACGGATTTTACCACTGGAAAAAAAACTATGCAAGGAATTGCACACATATTAACAATTTTCCAAATAAAATACAATTTAAACATTAATGCAGTCAAAACATTTTAAAGTTTCTGTTTTCTTAAGCTATGGAAATAAATGCACAAAAGGAGGCATTTTTCTTTGTTAAGTTTTGTCCTTGTGATGAAAAATAGTCCAAAAATTGATTTCAGGAATTTGTATTGAACAACTCCTGAACTATTTTTTTTTTTTAGCATGGCAATGGCTTTTTCCATTGTGTCTCCACTAAGATCAGCAAGAAAAATTTAGAGACACAGTGCAATTTAGGTTTGCTGACATCATACAAGAAGTTGTTGATATCCCGTTGGTTTTCCATGAAAAGGGCATGTTAGACAAGTGTTTACCAGCATTTTTGGCTGGCAGGCAAATAAATTTTCATGAACTTTTTTGGAGGCCATTGAATTTCAATAAAATGTTTGCAGGCCAGCAGCAAATTTGACCTCCTGAAATTCAACTGTCCTGCAATTTTACAGACAAATTTGCTGGGAGATTGACTTGAAATTTGACCTCAGCCATGCTATTTAACCTAAGAAGAGACATAAAATGTAAAATATCATGCAGAAAATGTGCCATTTGGAATTGTCTCACAATTTGACTGCTCTGTAATTCAACCCTAAAGTCCATCTGCAGATTATGGTCAAACTGCAAGTTACCACCTGTACTGGCTACTGGGTAATTGTTTACGCTTCCGTTGTTTGGATTGACCAAAGGTCACCAAAACACAGCAATGTGGTTCAGTAGCCAAAGTCCAGCAAAGTCTGGAAAAGTTCCATTATCTTTTGAATCCCTCACTGCTACTCCTATGGCAGGAATACGGGAAAAAATGCCACCAAGTAGTAAATAACTTTTTGTTTATGAAAAAAATTTTGGGGTTCTTCTGATGGACATTGGCTCCTTTTATCATACCAGGAATTTATTAATTTCTTTCACCTTTTGCACAAAATTGTGCCAAGAAATCCCCAATGAGCTGCCAAATAATAATACCACTTTCGATGAATTTATCATGTGGAAGAAAATTTCCTGCAGACTGGCAATATTTCTGTACAGACTGGCACCATGCAGTGCAATACTAGACAAATTAAAAATAAATCAGCTACGTGTCCTATTTACTGTACAAGGTATTCACTTGAATACCACATGCCCTGGTGTAATCTGCACACACAATTTTTCTGCAAAAAAATTGTCCAAAAAACTTACCTCTGTATAAGACCCACAACACAGTTCATTTTGCTGAAAATTCAGAATTGTGAAGTACTGTATATTTTTCCCCTTTTGATATGCCATTTTATCCATTTGAAATTTCATTGCCCCCTTTTGAGTGTCTGCAATTTCCACAATGATGTAAATATCTTCCACTTTCTTTACTTCCTGTTCGCATGTCCAACTACTTCATTACATTTTGCTTGCTTGAAGAATTTTTTTTTCCATGGACAAGGAGACCTGGTGCCTCACATTACCACTTCATTTTTTGTTGGTTAGATACACTGCACTCCCATACCTGTGAGGGGCTCTGGATTCTGGGATTATTTTTAGTAACCCTACAGATGGCAGAGGGTTCCTTCCATCACACTGTAGAGTTGAGATTTTCTCAGGGGTTGGGAAAAGGCATAAGTCAGGACAAAAGGCAAATTTCATATTGTTCTGAGGAATCTCCATTGCTAATCCAAGGCTAGGAATGCAGGAAAAAATGTCATCCTGTGAGGGATCTTCAACTTTGTCATTCAAAATTTTCTGCAGGATTGGAACAAAATACTGTGGCCCTCTGCCTAACAGACCTTCCATGTGAGGGTTTTCTGCCTAACAAACCAGCTCTGCAGGCAGTTTTTTGTCCCACCCAACAGACAAAATCTACCAATTTAACAGACTTCTGTTGGCTTAAAATTATTGTTGACAATTAAAAGTTTTGATTTTTTATATAATTCAATTTGTCTGAAGGAATTTTTGTCTAACAGACTTGTCTGCAGCACAAATTAAGTCCATTATACAGGCTTTGAATGTAGTGGACTTTTTTCCAACTTCATTGGGACAAGGACAGGATTTTTCAATTTTTACTTGTAACACGCACAACATTTTGCAAAAATATCCCAACTTTACCACGCAAGGGTTAAAAAATTTAATCTTTCCCTTCTGAGTACCTGCGCAATCTATTTTTCTGTTAAAAAAAAGTACCCTGGTATATACTTGAGGAAATAAAGGGGTGTCTTTTATTTTGTTTTAAGAAAAAGAAGAATGACAAATACGAAAATAGGTTTTTCAAAATTGTTCCTTTAATCATCCCAGCTACTCATAACAGCCTTCGCGAGCGGGCTCATCAGCATGGACCTCTTGAAATAATTCGGCCGCCTCAGCAGCGGCCTGATCCTCGCCGGCGCCGCCATCACCGCCGCCGCCGACGCCGTCGCCCGATTATACAGGTCCTTCCGATGGAACCCTCGTCTCTGCAGAGCGCCGCCGCCGCCCGTAGCAGTGGCGTCCCTCTTGAACTGCAGCGGCAACACCGCCACCGGCCTCTGCAACGCCTCCAACAAGTGCTCAGGCTTCGGCAACTCCACTCCGCTATGGCGACGATGACCGCCACTCATCATCGGTCTCATCAGTGGCGGCGATGCCCGGCGCCTTCCTTGATGCCGACCACTGATCTTCCTGCGTTGGCGCGTTTCGAAGAACCCCGGCTGATGCTGCGGGTAATCCCCGGAATTCTTGTTATTCGCCGATGACGACCCCCAGTATTTCCGCATTAAAAAATTCCGATCCCTCTTCCGGTTTCCGCGGAATCGCTTCCGGACCCCAGGCGAGGGTTTCGCGTGGTAAATGACGTTCACTGGCGACGCCGACGTCGTCATCATCGCCGTGCCGTCGTAATAGTCGGAATATTCTTCCATCCCTGGCACGTCGCTGTGGATGACGGGTTCTTGATGCCCCGAAGGCAGGATTTCTTCCGCGACGGATGCCGGCGGGTTATTGTGGTACGCGTAATTGTCCGGGTGCTCCATCATCAGGTTGCTAATCACTGCCTCGGGCGGATGATGTTGATGAATCCTCGTGATTATCGGCGTCATTGATGGGTACATGAACTTGATATTGTTCATCGAATCCTCGCCAGTTTTCTCGGGTTGTTTCGCGCTTTCCGTTGTTGTGGGTGATGTTGAGGATGTGGTGCTTGTTGTTGTTGATTCAGTCGTTGATGTTATCGTGGATGGTTCGAATGTCAATTCCGGCAGTAGAAAGCTACTGGTTGCAGACGAGCCGAAAAACGGGTGGGCAACGTTCTGCTGGACCCGGGGATCCAGAACCCCGTAACGCGACCCGGAACCCACCGTGTAGACTACCGAAGGCGGGACCGGGGTTTGGAAGTAGAACTCCAGACTCGGGTTGTGGGATCCGATGATGGGCTGCATGGGGAAGCTTTTGTATTCCAGTCGACGACGATGGGCACCCGTGACTGGGTGCATCGTGGTGCTGATTGTGGTCGGGGTTTCAGTTGATGGAGTGATGGTTGAACTGGGTTCGGATGACGATTGATGATGATTTGAAGCCGCGCGGACGAGGAACTCCGAAGACGGCGGTTTCTTATTGTTATTATTTTTATTATTAGCTTGATGCGGTTTATTGTTTCTTTGCATTTTGGCAGAAGTCTCTGGCGAAATCGGCATGAGGGTGTGTCTGATGGAGGGCTTGAGAAAGTGCCGTTTTCGGTCCGTGAGATCCAGAAAATCCCCTTGGGTTGCCTTGTTCAGGAGCTCTTCGAAAGTGCTTTCCGTCGGTCTCGTCGTTATTATTTTCATTTCTCGAACTTTCGGCGAGGATTTTTGCGATGTCACGATGCTGATGCTGCTGGGTTTTCGGGTCTCCTGGGCTCTCTTTTTAGTCATGGTCGTTGTCGTGACGATCGGCGTCTTTCGAGGTGTTGTTTTTGCGTTAGTCGTGGGTTTTGCGCGGGGTTGAGTGGGTTTCGGAGGTGGGGGTTTGGGTTTTACCAGGGCGAGAAATTTCCCCGAGGCTTTAGTTTCCTTGGGACTGAGTATCTTCGGTTTACTGGTGGTTGGAATGTGGATTTTGGACGGGATCACGACAGTAAAGGCCATTTTCTGCGAGGGTTTCGGCGACGGAGGCGGGATCTTCTTGATGGGTACGACCATTGTTCTGACCGTCGGTGGTGGTGGGTTTCGTGCTGAGCCACGTGATGGAGAGTAGCGCAAGGTGTATTGAGCAAGGGGGTTATTGCCCTTATGGTTTGGGATGGGGTTGTGTTGTTGATGATGATGAAGATGATGAGGAACCCGAGGGGAAGGGGTTGGGACTAGTCTGAGTTTGAGGCGCAATTCTGGGTTGCTTGGGGTGTTGGCTGCTGAGGGAATCGGGGTCTTGGTTTCGGGTGCTTCGAGAACCCGGAGGGCTTCCCTGAAAATTTCCTTCAAGTGCTGCATGTCTACGTTTTTCGGCATGGTTTTGTCTGGATTTACATCATTGCTGGTGAGGGCAGCTGATGCAGACGGTGCATTTCTGAGCAGGTTTTGACTGCGCTGGGGCTGTTGAAGGAAACAATTATGTGAATATTATTAATATTATCACAGTCAACCTCTGTCTAACATAAAGTACTTCATTTGTGCAATGGATAAGTGTGCTAATGTGCAGCAAAGTGGGGATACTTTTGCAAATTAGTGCACCCATGAGGGCTGAAAAAAAAAGATTGTTCAACCAAGGCTCAAGTCAGGAAAAAGTCAAATATTTTATTATATTCCTGCAGAAAATTTTTGCTCGAGAAAAGTTCCTCCATGATGGTGGAGTTTTTCTTAATGAAATTCCAGCATAGGATGAACATTGAGGATTTTTTGTGATAATGGGATTTTCTGAGCCTAGATTTTTCCAACCTTGGGGGAGTTCCAGTGACCTAAATTAAGTCAAGCTGAAATGCCTGAAAAATTCCCCTGAAAAATCCCAAATTGGCCGCAGGTTTGCCAGGAACCCTCTGCCCAAGGGTTAAACAAAAAGTTGGTTAGACAAATGTGCTTTTCCTATACATATATACACATATTTTTTTTTATGTAACTGAAGCATGTCAGATGGATTTGGTACATCAAATGGGATGAAAAACTGCCTCAGAAGGCAATATGTTAGAGAAAAATTCCATTACCTGGAAGGGACATCAGATGGTAATTCATTTGTGAAGGATAATTTCTGAGCAACAAAATTAAAATGAATTATCATTAAAATGAACTCTTAAAATGACCTGATAAAAACTTGATATTTTGAAAAAATCACTTTGAAGTATTGAGAATCACAGTTCTCAACATAATTTTGACTGAAATTTTGGGATAAATGGATAATAAACACTTTGAAGTTGTTCTATGACAGATAATGCATAACCTGTTTAAATTTTCATTTCTTTGTCATGAAATGAAGAAGAGCATTTTTGAATATATATCAATTTGCTCATATTAAATCTTCCCCCTCCGCTATAATGTTCTGCTAGTCCTGACTCCTGAGTTCCTGAATAATGAAATGAACAACAAAGTCAGGTAGAAGTATTACTCCATTTAAAGTCAAATTGTTTCATCATACTTGTTTTTGAATACTTGTCTTTTCTTTCAAATAGATCAACATTCTTTCCAACTTATTAATTTTTATTTTAGATCCATTGAAATTGAATTTCACTGCAGTTTTTTCAGCACCTCAGGCTTTGATTTCAATTCTTAAATTTTTAAATTGGCTGAATGAAGATTTGATTCACTGGAAGTTTAATTGTCTTTGATGCCACCCCATGCCTCTCTATGGGCAAGCAATCTTCCTCCAGTTTGCTGGTGCACAGTGTGTCCCTTTGGATTCAACACAATTTTCACCCACAGAAAAGGACATGCTGTGGCAACAGATTACATATTTACTAATGCAGATGAATATATGTGCGGGAATTTGATTTTTGGGTCAGCAAGCATGAAAAACTCACTACAATCTGTCCTGTGACCATGGGGTGGAGCTGATGGGGTGTTCTAGCATACATGCTGTTCTTTGGTTGAGATACTGGAGCTTGGGTTTTAGATGCTTGCATAATGGATCGAGTGAGGTCCAACAGCTTTTCTGCAATGGGATTCATTGTTGTGGTTGTTCCTTCACTACTGTGGTCCACTAGAGACAGACTCAGACTATCCCCAGAAAGTTCTGGTCCACCATGTACCTGTGAAAGAAGAGGGAGATATAAGAAGTATGTATAGAACCAGGCATTTATGAAATAATCTGATGCATCAAATTTTAATGTATGCCTAATTATCCAAAAGGTATTTTTGGAAAAATTAGTGATGGAACCCTGCTAAAAATGTAAACAAACACACCAAATCATGCATTACCTTCCCACACTGATGAAGGCTTCAAATTGTTTAAGAAAGCAAACAAGAATCATTTCAACCTTTTGAGCAAATATGCATTATGTGGGAAAATATAGCACTTTCCAAAGTTGAAACTTATCCAGGGATGCAAAAGGTACATGGTAAAGGGATGCAATGGTACTTCGCTCCTATGTGGCAAAGTTAGAATACTTTCAGAAATTATTGTGCCCATGAGCCCTGTAAATAAAAAATTGTATTTTTGTGCAAAGGCCAAAGTAGGGGAAAAGTCCAATATTTTTTTCTAATTCTACAGAAAATATTGCATCCAGAAAAAGTCCTTACTGATGAGCAGTGTTTTTCTTGCAATTCTAGCATAGCATTAGCATTGGAGATTTTGTAAAACAAAAGGATTCACCTTGCCCAGATTTTTTTCAATTTAGGTCTTGTTGACCATACAAGGAGCTTTTCAGTGACCTTGGGTACAAACATACAAATGACAACTGACTGTTGGCACCTGAGCATTCAACCCTTGGATGATTGTAGGTTAATTTCCATGCCTGTAAATTTTTGCGTATCTGCAAGTTTTGATTTGAACAAAGCATCCAAAGGTAATATAAATTCAGCTTTCATAGAGTAGCCAAAGTCTCAAAAAATATTGGTGAGTGAAACCTCTCCATGCTAATCCTAGGGATGTGGGAAAAAATATTGCCTAGTAGTGCATGCTTTTTTCATAGAGAAAAACTTTATAAACTGGGATTTTTCCATTTGTGCTCTCTTCTGATCACAATGCCTTTTTATGCTTGTGACCAGTGGCAAAAATTGCGCAAATAGATTGCACCTCTGCCACACAAGTGTCAAGTAAATACTGTACAGTGTTGTACTTGATTTGGAAATTTTGAAAAAAAGAAAACTTCAATTCCAGTTTCAGAGTGTAATCCCATTACACAAGAATAAGTCTCATTTCTAAAAAAAAATCGATTATAGAAGAAAATCATTCTTTAGGCCTGTTGCTATTGTAGCCACAATTAATGTTAACCCTTGGACAGTGGATGGTTACTTTCCATTGCAGAGCAGTTGGAATTGTTTCTTTGCAGGGTAGGGCATTTAAGTTTGCAGATTGAAGGTCAGTGGAATAATCCCAGTTTGAGAGGGCCTAAGTTGGGAAATATTGGGGAGGCAAATTTTTTTTGGCTTTTAGTAATCTGTAGTGCTAATCATATGCAAGTAATGCAGAAAAAACTGCCAGGTAGTGTGAGGATTTTGTTATTTTTTGAATGCAAAATTTTCTGCTGGATTAGAAAAAACTGATGGACTTTTTCCAAACATAGGCCGTGGTGGTGAAATATTACAGGTGAACCTCAATAACTCAAAGTTGAATACCCCTCTAAGTCTAATTATTTGTCAGGTCCCGTTCTGAATCCCCTTAGAAACAGGGCATTGAAAGCTTTCAAACTCAAATTTTCTTTGACCTATTGGCCTTTTTTTTGACCCCAGAAAGAAAAAAGCAATAAAACTAGAAATTGGTGTGTTTTAAAAAAATTAAAAGACTTGATTGGGCAAATGAACCCATGCCTCCAAGTTCAGCATCATTCCAAATCGTATGAGTAGCCATTTAAGCCCCAGAATATCACCATTCACATTTTTTCTCAATTTCCCAGAAAAATTTGCTTTGTAATTGTAGCTCAAACCTCTGTACAGTAATTCAAAAACTCCCTTATTCAAAACCTGCAAATACAGTTGCACCTCTCCAAGTCAAATTTCAAGGGACCTGCAGTACAAAAAAAAGTTGACATAGAGAGGTTTGACTATACAGTGGCCTAACAGACCTCCTGTGTAAGGGATTTTCGCCAAACAGACCAGCTCTGCAAGCAGTTTTTCCTCCCGCCCAACAGACAAAATCTGCCGAACAGACTTCTTTTGGTTTAAAACTAGTGTTGAAAATTGAAATTTTTAATTTTTGATGTAATTGATTTTGTGTAAAGGATTTTTTGTCTAACAGACTCGCCCCTTGCATGAATCAAGTCTGTTAGACGGGGGTTGACTGTATTGTAGGGTGAAAACATCCTGGTTGTAGCCCAACCAAACTATCTAGTCTTATGTATTCCTTTCATATTCCTAACAAATGCCTCAGTAGTCAGCACTCAGATGTCTCTTGCATCTGGAATGTGGTTTTTGCAGCTTGAAATGTGTAAGATATATACATATATATATATGTATACTGTATATATATTTTTTTTTTGAATTTGACTTTTTGGGAGGCATTCCACTTATTAGTAGAAGGAGATGAGGTTTGAGCTGTTGAAATAAATTCAATTCTACAGCAAGGAATAATTCAATCATAAGAAGAAAACGAATAGAAATGGAATAGATAATGATAATGATACTGATAAAAAATGATAAACCTGGAAGCAATGGCGACCACTGGACCGAAAGGTTCATCACGGCCGCCACGGCAGAAGACCTTGAGTGATCTCTGGGCCTCGAAGGGCAAAAACGTCGGCTGGCGGCGCTTCTCCAACACGCAGTTCATCATGGCTCTTTCTTCGTGCTCCAAAATTGTCTGAACATCCAGCACACACAAGAACCGGAAATAGAAGAACCAAATACGTAAGCAAAAATAAATAAAAGAACAATAATGATTCTGACCAGGTCCCTTTTTCTCCCCCACAAAATAAAAATTTATGACAGAAAAAGTCCATGTAGGAGTTTGCTGGACGTTATACAGAATAGCCAACAATTCAATTATGCCTGGAAATAACTTCCAAAAATGCCAAATGCCAATAAATTGAAAGCTCCTTTTTCCCCACAGGAATTTTCAGCAATTTTTTTTACAGCAGCCCATTTACGCTTCAGAAGAACTTTGAAAATATTCTAAATTTCAAGGATCCAAAAGGTTTCCAGAATACTTGTGTTTCTGTTTCCAAGCCAAAGATGGCGTTTTCTGCAGTAATATATAGATATATTTTTTATATCTCATCAGTGACCATTGAACTAAAACTCATGCAGAAACAGGCTGAAGACCTGTTGCTTTAAATAAACTTTTACTGCTGCTTTGTCTTCAATATTGGGGATGGGTGGGTGTATCCAACATAGGTGTAGGATGTCCAGTTTTATTTTGTGGAGTGTGTTCTCTTTTATTTTTATTTTTGTCATTCGTTTGTGCTTTGTTTCATGCTTTGAAATGATTGAATGTATTTGGGGGAGTTGGGTTGGGTGGGGAGGGGGTTTGGATGCCAGAGTTCTGGTTATCCCTTGTGAATGCTGAAAAGCAGCAAATAAAGTTTTCTGTTCATTCATTCATTCAACAGTGACCATTGGGTTAAAATTCAAGAATTTTGAAAATAAAGTATTGAATAGATAGTAACCCTGGCAAGGTCGTCAAGGTGGAAGATGACTGGTCCAGAATCAGAGTCATTATCTTCATCATCATCAGAAGGCTTGTTATGGTTGCCTCTGCGGTTCTTATTGCGCCTGTTCTTGTTCTTCTTGTTCTTTCTGGACTTGTTCTTCTTCTTCTTGTTGCCCTTGGGTTCTTCAGAACTGTCATCGGATTCCTTTTGTGCTACTGGCTCTTCCTTCTGTTTTTCCTGGAATATAATAACAGAGGATGTAGCAAATCAAAATTGATGACACAAATTTGTATAAGCAAGGGCACTGGGTGAACTTTGAGCTCTGTTTGTCACAGAGCTGTTCTCTGAATGAGAAATAACCATGAAGTGATGCCAACATGCATCAGTTATTTTCAGTGGCTCCTGTTTCTGCAGCAGCATTACTGTACATCACCTATTTGTTTTCAGACATTTTCAATTTAGTAATTTAAATATGTATGATAGCGTTACCAAATTTAATTGGTGAAATATCATTTTTGGTGCATTCTATTCTGATTAGACTTTCATATGAGGTTGATGGCTTGGAAAACCAGATGTAAGCTGAAGTAATGTCAGTTTTATACCAGGGGCAATAAAAACAAAATGCAGTCAACCCCCGCACAATGGACTTAATTTGTTCAACAGACTTGTCTATTGTGTGAAAAATCTTTTATGTAAATTCAATTATTCAAAATGTAAAACGTTCACTTTCTACCATTAAGCGTAAACCAACAGAAGTCTTGAATGCAGATTTAGTCCATTGCAAGGGAGAGAAAACTGTTTCCAGAGGCAGTCTGTTGTGCAAAAATCATTTACAAATGAGGTCCGTTGTGTGAGGTAAACTGTATCATTATAGTATTTTATGTTATTGCCATGATCAAGGCAGGTATTTGCATTTTTTGCAACAATTAATCCTTCAAAATCATAATTTAACCTTTCATTCCTGTCTTGACTTTTTTTTTGCATAACCAGAGGAACTTTTCCCACACAGCAAAATTTGTTAACTCCATTATATATTCACAAAATGTTTTTAAAAATAAGTTGTTTGGGAAATCATGGGTTTCCAAATGTACCTTGTCAGCCTCAACCAGTCCACTTGAAGTGGTGGTGGGATCCTCAGTGGAAACAGCAGGCACTTCATTGGCCACAATGAGGATCTCCTCATTCTTTGGCTCAGTTGGGGCCACTGAGAGTCTGTCAAATGTGGCAAATGCAGCCTCAGCTGGCAACCCTTCACCAGGGTTGCCACAGTGACAGGTGGACTGTCTGGCAGCATAAGCAGCTGCTACTATGCAAGCCCCAAGGATCACACTCACCACTATGACAGTGGCCATCATGAGTTTGGTGGTGGCTGTCACTCCGGAACCACGAGAATATGCCTGAAAGAAAAGGAAATTGATATAATAAACAGATTTCCAGAAACTTTAAAACATGAAATTAATAT